CTTGGCAAACCTGTCAAATTTGAGCTAGGATTGATCATGACTCGGTTTTGAGGTAAACTTTCTTGTTTTGGCGGTTACAAAAAAAAGTCTCATTTATGGCTTAATAGAAACTTGGCCAAAGATAGCCCTGTTTTTATTAATAAAAACAATTGGACCAGGTTCGGTCTTGACCCAGTTTTAAGGGTTTGTCAAACACAATCTATATCTCCCTAGTTTTTCTCGCAAACCCCTAACTTTATTTTTCTTGATGCATAGGTTTAGGTTGGAGCGCTCCTTCCTTGGTTCTTTCCTCTTTTTTATTTTTATTTTTAATTTCAATCTTATATGTTCTTCGCTGACATTGCTTCTAATGTTAGACATAATGAAACTTCTTGATTAAATTTTCAAGATGGTTTCCTCATCCTAGCCTAGCCCATTTAAGTGAAGATGGTTTAGGCACTGTTTGGCAACCAAAAAAAGTGTCTTATCTAAGAGCTTGTGTCTTATTGACTTGGTCAATAAGCTAGTAGAGTTGTTTGGTGACCAAAAATAGGAGGATATTATTTTGAAGATTGTGTCTTTTGCAAGTAGCTTTTGGAAAGCTATCTCTACTGCTGCAACTAACTACGAGATTATAGCTGAAAGCTGTAAAGCTAGCTGAAAGCTGTGAAATTGTAGCTGAAAGCTGTTAGCTGTGTAGCTAGCTGATTGACTAGAGCTGTTTGGCAAAAGCAGCTGTACAACTAGCTTAAATTTGTTAAATGACTAAAAAAGACATGCAATATTATTGATATAAAATTAGAATTATTAGGGACAAAAACGAGAAAAAAATTTGGCAGCTCCTTCCCAAAGACAAACGCTACTTGAGATAGCTTTCCAAAAGCTACTTGCAAAAGACACAATCTCCAAAATAATCTCATCCTATTTTTTGTCACCAAACAGCTCTACTAGCTTATTGACCAAGTCAATAAGACACAAGCTCTTAGATAAGACACTTTTTTGGTTGTCAAACAGAGCCTAACGCTACTGCTGCAACTAACTACGAGATTATTGATAGATCTCTACTGCTGCAACTAACTACGGACATGATTAGGGGGTATTTGGCAATCTGAAAGTGAATTTAAAATATGTAAGTTACTTTTTTTTGCAAATAACTTTTACATCCATGTCAGCACGCAAGTGAAATACAGTGTTTGTTTAAAAAATTAAATTAGTATCGAAAGTACAATGTGAAGATGACGTGGCAAAATAAGATTAATTAGAAAGTATAATTAAAATTATTTAATTAAATTAGTTATATTTTTATCACCTTCATGTGACTTCACCACTTTTTTAGGAGAAGTCAATATTGCATTAAATTATATGTAACAATTTTTTTGCATCTCACTTTCATAACCACTTACATAAAAATAAACACTTTAATTGTTAAATAAAAGTAATTTTCTCACTTTTATCTTTCACTTGCATGCAAACAAACACCCCCTTATGGTCCAAGACGGACACCGTTAACGTTGGGTGCTTCGTGTGAAATGCTCGATATTTAGTGGGAAAAACAAAGATGAATGGGCTACATGGAAATAACCCAAAGGTTTGAGGGGTTTTCAGAAATTTACCATAAAATTATACCCATCATGTGATTCTTCAAACTAATGACTTTTTGGGCAGGCATTTGTTTATGGCATAATGAAGTAGTCTGCTAACTGAAATCATTCTTAGGTTGATGTCTGCTTGCAATCTTGCCAGCTATTATATTATAATGGTCCATATATTCTTTCATAATTGTGGCTATGTCTGTCTATTAAAGTCCGTGTGGCTGCAATATTAAACTGTGAATAATGACCAAATCTACTACTAACCCAAAATGCCCTCTCATAACTCATACCTGCTACCCACACGATGACACGAACAAGATTGAGAACTGTTCTTCCTTATATCACGGAGTTAAGAATGATTGATAACTGATTTTGGTTTATAAAATTTCAATTGAGCTTTCATCTTCAATATTTATCTGCTTCTCTGTGTAGAAGAGTTCAAAGTTTCTCATTACTTTTTAGGAGATTGAAATTAGGGGATGTTAGTATAAAAATATAACCATAAACTCTCACCATACTTTCGTTCCGGTGTAATAGTTAGAGAAACTTTAAGATTGTAGACTGTCTAAAAGTTATTGCAGATAGCTTATTCCCATCAAACACTGATGATGGAAGTTACAATCTGACAACTTTCAGAAGGCTACTATTGGAAACTTTCAGGTAGAACGATGAAGGTTACAATGTGACGACATTCATAACAATCGATGAAAAAGCTCTAATTCAACAGCCTTCACAATCAACATCGGGAGTTACAATCTGATGACTCTCACATTTTTAAAGAGCCAAGACGAAGATTACAAGATGACGGTCTTTATAACGCTCTAGCAAAAGAGACTACAAATTCACGGTCTCTTCAAATCCAGACGTAGAACTCACCTTTGCGTTCCAGATTCAAAACGTAGAGCTCGTGGCCGCGTTCCCAGAACAAAACGCAGAGGTCCTCCCTGCATTGCAACACCAAAATACGGAGGTCCTCCACGTGTGTCAGCAACAAAACGCAGAGCAGAGGTCCTCCCTACGTTGCAATATCAAAACGCAGAGGTCGGTCTTGCGTCGCAACATCAAAACGCAGAGGTCATGTCCGCGTTTCAGATTCAAAATGCAGGGTTCATCCCCAGCGTTCCAGTTGAAAATGCATAGTTCGTGGACTCAAAACGCAAAGTTCATCTCTGCATCCCAACTCTGCGTTTCGAATTTACAACGCTGTGCGAATACAACGTTTTCAGCCTAAAACAGGCCAAACTCTACGTTTCAAGTCTAAAACGCAGAGTTCGGGCCAGAACGTCATTTTCGACGTTTGACTCGTTTAAACACGAGCTGAACGGTTTCAAAACCGTTTCTCACGATTTGAGGGGATTACAACCCCACTTAGGAGCGAATTAAGGGGGCTGTTACACCCCTTAATCCCCTATAAATACCTCAAAACTCAGAAGAGTTCAGGGTCTTTTTTGGGCAGATCAAGATCGGAGACCATTGAGCGGCTTCTGGCATAAAATCGCAAAGGGGGAGATCAGCGTTCATCCTTCAGCGACGTTCAACAACAGAGAGCTTTCATCCTTGGCTATTAACCAATTTCCGGTTCAAATCAACTCTTTTTCAAGAGTTTAAACTCGCTCTGAGTTATCAACTCGTTTAGAGTTTCAAACACGCAAGTTATCCTTGACATCAATCAAGAGGATTTAACCGTGTTCCACAAGTTTAAGACGTTCGGATCGCCAATGAGAAGCAAACTCGACGCGAGCATTTGAGGGAGGCATCTCATCGCTACCGTGAAGAACACAGACTTAAACAAAGAGGAGAATTTGCATCAATTCTCTTCTCTTTTGTAATCGGAAATTCAAATTGTAATCGAGATTGAGAGAATTGTAAACATTCTTTTTTTTAAGTAGTTAGAGGGAATAAATCAAATTCAATTCTTTTAATTTTCTTATTACAAATTTTACAACAAACAAAGATGATATCAGAGCAATTTAGATCCAAATTCTACTAGCCACGATTTTAAAGTGGGTTTTTTTTAAAAAAATTTGACACCGCTAAGTGGGTTCAGATGTTGGCCCATAAAAAACCGTTCAACCTATAAGAGTATGTCAGAATATAAATAACCCATAACCCAACCTCACAATAAATTAGAATTTTGATCTATTAGTTAGAGGAACTTTAACGAGGGATGTTACATGTCAAATTCTATAAAATTCACATACAATCTATTAAAAACGGACTACTTTCAAATATAATTTCAGAATCCAAACAAATAAAAAATATATAGAGACAGAGTCCGATTAGACTATCAAATAATGGAAGTCCAATATATCCAGCTTAACTTTCTTTTTTCTTTTAGGTTTTATTTTATTATTATTTTATTTTATTTTTTGTTCATTATGCTCTTTAAATTTTCCTAGGTATAAAAGTAGCTGGTCCTTTTGGTGCGTGTCTTTTATTGCTCAAGTGAATTGATTGAATGGGAGGAGGAATAAATGGGCCCCACCTTATCAGATCCAACCCGTGACCAGTGTGGCCCAGAAACTAAGGTGGCCCCTTGTGGCCCGGACCAAAGTTCAAGAAATGTCTGTTCCTGTAGCCATCACATTGATTTACTGTTTGCATTTGTTTAAGGTAAGATGGGTTGTCGTACACATTTTAGTTTGCTTCATCCATCGGTCACGTATTCTGAAAAGAAAAATTCTTTAAGGACCCAAAATATGGGACCAATAAAGGGGACAAGTGAGGTGTCCTCTTCCTATTGGATAATGAGTTGGCCATCATTAATGATGGCCAACTCATTATCCAATAGATGGGGGACACCTCACTTGTCCTATTTATTGGTCCCATATTTTGGGTCCCTGTAGCAAAGCTCTTTAGATGCAGTAATATACATCTACTTAGATATGGTTAGTAGCATAACTGCATTACTATTTTATCCCTTTATAGGAATGTGGCTACAGCAGGATCAGCTGACTACGTGTTTCGTCGGTTGGGTTTTGCAATTCAGAAAGGATTAGCGGCGCAGCTTGTTGCCCGCTTGTCATCATCACATGTATAATATTTTCCCTCTAGAGAGTTAAAAATATATATAAGGAATTAAAAAATTTAAAAAACAAAAACAAAAAAAGAGGGGGCACCCCATTCCCCTTTTGCCTTGACGTGACATTGGTGCAAATATTTATTCTCCACTTTTAGGATCGACCGTCTAAATTCAAATGAGTCTCATCACTAGCCCATCTCTTAATAGCCTCACTAATAAAATGAGTTTAAAGCTCATGCTCATTTTCCCCAACATCATCTTTACCGCATTTATTTTCCAAAAAGAAATTTTCAAAACAGTCTCAAACCATGTTTTAATTTTCAAAACCGACCCACTTTTTTTAAAACCAAAATCGACCCATTTTTTGCTACGTCAGCTTAATCTCATTCCTAAACAGTCGGGATTGGCAACCCGACTGTTTAGGAGATTATTAAACCCCAATTAAAAACCTTAAACCCGATTTTTTATGTCCTAAATAGTCAGGGTTAGCAACCAGCGATGAGTAGTAACTGCAATCTTTGATTTCATTCGTAAGCATGGATAATTTGGTCTTAAATAGCCAGCTATAAGTGCACGTGTTGCTTTGTAGTTTAGGATTTTGACTTCATCGGCATCATATTATGAGAATTCTCGCGCCAGTGCAGATCCTGCTTGCGTCAATTGATCCTACTCGCAACAGAAGAAAAGAGGGAGATCATTATTTTGTCTTGTCATGCTCATTGGAAATACACACAGAGAGGAAACTCCTCTTGCATTTGATCAAGAACCACCCTCATAAAAAGAAAGAGAAATTTCATTACTCCGCCCTTGTGTCTCGTCCATTGGAAATTTCAACAGAGGAAACTCTTGCTTTTATTCAGAGAATTTAACTCCTAGTACTCAAAATCGGAAAATCCTTTTCAGCAGATACAAAGCGGAGAAAAACAATGTAAGGCTACACCACTGTGTAAGAATTTCAGTCAAATAATACAATTGCTAGTGTTACAATATTTAGAGAAGAATCTACCAAAAATTACAGAGAGAAAAGCAACCTAAAGTGTGACTGTTGGGTTACAAAAAGTTCTTCAGGAAAATGGAAGCAAACAGAAATACTACCTCCACTTCTCTCTCAACTCCTTTCTCTCAGACAAACCCCAGGTCACAAAAATAGCAACAACTAGAGCGATGATGGTGATGAGGAGCAAAGCATAGCTGAAATCTTCTGTAAGTGAATCGTATGTTCTTGACGGAGCGATTCTGGTAAAAAAGAGATCTACTCCGTACGTGAAGACAAGAGCAGTAGATTCAAGCTTAGCAGGGAAGGTTACAATGCCTCGGAGGTCTTCTACTTGAAGAGAGTGTGTCACATATGACTGCAAATATAAATAGCAACGGCATCAGCATGAAATAAAGCCCTTAATTAAATTGATATAAATAAGCTAAAACATTTAAAATAGAAAATCTCATGAAGTCGCAGTATCAGAGAATATAATAGCTTATTAAATAACCTAGGTAACCAATCGTAAAGGTGTAACAGGAATTTTCTAGAAGGTATAATAAAATCTAAAATGTTGCTCATGTTGTTTTGTTACTTAAACCTCAACCTAGATTTGACTATGACTGCCAACCAAACCTCAATCCTCATATCAATCAGTGAAAAGATTCTTGGCCAAGGTAGCCATACAAGAGACATTATAGTACAAACTAGACAAAAATTGGTACATGGGTACCTTAACTAGCTCTTTAAGGTCAAATAACAAGGAAGCATTCAACTAGGTAAGACAGAAGCCAAGTTTCCTTATTACCAAGCATGAACATCAATCAGCCTCTCCATAATATTTTGGCCACATTTATCAAATACTTCAGTTAAAATTTCTTTCAGATACAGACCTATTGAGATAACTATTAGAGAGGAAAAACTCAATGTCACAGATCAAGGTTTTCCTCTAACAAGTACACAATAGTGATCAATTCGAATCTCAAAGAAAATAAAGCATTTCATGTTCGCTTGGATTGCAAGCATCCACAACTGTAGCATCTAGCGGAAAAAGAAGGAATATGTTCCTAATCAAACAATATGACAGTGATTTAGAAAGTACATGGTTGCACGGCACATCTTATGGAAAGTAAGTGAAAAATTATCTTTGACAAAACTAACGAGATCAGCTGTACGTAGTGAGCTACAAGAATTATATAAGGAGATATTATAAAACATATAAAGAGGATAATAAGCTAACTTGAAACAAAGACAGGCTATATTGAAACAGTGACCTGCTAAGATATGCATGGTGTTGAGGCTGTTTTCCTGTTATTATGTGCAGTTAAAAAGGATTTGGAACATAAAATCCTAGGGATTACTGCCAAATACCAATAAAATATGATGTAGACTAGCTGCTACAAACAACATCAGCGCAAAAGACAATGATTAACATATAAATTGTTTTATCTACTTTTTAAGTCAAAAATATTTTATTCATGAAATAAATAATAATGAGGAATAACCTGGGGAATGATTGGCAATGAATCTGTTAAAGGTATAATTCCTTCTTCCTTTTCTGCCTGTGTCGGGTTGGCAGTACGACGAGGATCAAGATAACGCTTGTCAAGTGCAAGAACCTGTGATTCAAGAAATGAATTTGATCTTACAAATACCACTAAATGAAGATACATCACAGTCTAATGATTATAGAAGACTAACAAAAATATATCAGTATTTGTCAATGGGACAATTAGACAAGTGAGCGGAGAACTTGTAATCAGAAACTTCACAAGCATTCTCAAAATTTGAATTCACAATTGGGATGATAAAATCATTTATTAATTTATAATTACTATGAAAATGCCAATTTCTCAACAATGAATACATATCTGCTGAATGAGGCGCACTACCAAAAATGATTAAAGCCCCTCTGCGTTCACAGCGCCAAATTTCTCGATTCAAATTATCCACAAGGTGAAATTATATTTTCAATGCTATGGATGAGCAATTGTTAGACAACAAGCAGAACTAAGAATGAAGCAGAAGTTACAGTTAACCTTGGAATTGAAAGTTATTTCTTGCGGCGTCATTATAAGAACCGAACCTTGAAATATCCCTCTAACATTTGTGATGCAGCAAAAGAACTATAGAGTTTTGTCCCATTTAATGATATAACCGATTCAAGACTACAATTGTTTACATTTTTTTATTGTTTTTTAAGATACAATTTCTCATATTTTGTTTATTGAATTGTGATCAACTATTCAATAGAGATCCTTTAAGCATTCTCAAAATTAGAACTCTGAAGGTTTCACAATTGGGATGCAAATATCAGTTAGTAATTATGATTACTATGAAACTTCCAATTTCTTAACAGTGAACATAGATCCGATGAATAAGGTGCACTACCAAAAAAGATCAGAGCCCCACAGCAACACATTCAGTGTCAAATTTTTTAACTCTAATTATCCACAAGATAAATGAAAATGCAATCATGAGAAAAATGTGAAATTCTGTTTTCGAGCTATGGATGAGGAACAGTTAGACCACATACAGAACTAAAAATGATGCAGAAGTTCTACTTTTGTCGACAGTCAAATTTCCCTCTTATTAACCTTGGAATTGGATGTTATTTCTTGCTTTGTCTTCATAGGAAACAAACCTAGAAATATCCCTGTAATACTTATGATGGAGCGATACAATTTTGAGTTTTGTCCCATAGGAATGATGATATAACCGATTCAAAAGTACAACCGTTAACTTGAATTTGTCTTTTTTAACATGTTTTCCTCACATTTTTATCAAATTGTGAATAACTATTCAAATCAGAAGTATGAGCTTAAAGATCCTTTAAGTCTAAAAGAACTCATTGAAAACTCCTTTTAAGGACTTGTTTCAAATAACCAAAGTCCGTATCCAATGGATTGTGGATAAGAACTTGTATGGGCATATAGGCTATCCTAAAGAACCTAAAACAGGTGTAAAAGAAGTGGACGTTCTAAAATCCAAACTGAATTTGAAAATATTAGCTGATATTTGGGTCAGCTCCGGTATCTGCATGACCACTCCACTGGTATTATCCAATCCAAATATCAATTCTAAAAAACATTATCCGAATAATAGAAAAAATAAGTTTAGAAGAGCAAGAACTGTTACATGAACTAATCATACTTTTTTTAACGCATGAGCTGATCATACTCGCAATACCCTGAAGTACCATAACTAATTTACAAAACCCCTAAATAACAAGTATTATATTATTTTATTACATATACATGGAAGTAATCTATAGATAGTA